ATAAATATGGTTTGCTTATCGCTAAATAAAAAAACAAATGTTTGTGATGGCATATTCTATAATAATATGCAACAATAAATTAAAGGATTAGTTCACCCAAAAATTAAAATTCTGTAAAAAAATGAGATCTGTAAAATCCATGTGACATTAGTGGTTCAACCGCAATTATAAGAAACTACGAGAATACTTTTTGTCAGCTGCGTCACACGGATACACTGTTTCCGTTCAGATCAAATCACAACAAAGTAGGAAACAGATCCGGCGTGACGCAGCTGACACAGAACAGCATACGTTGTTTACGTCCCACGGATATTCTCCAAAATGGCACCAGGGTGATGTGGAGGAGACGAATTGTTGAATAATGTTGAAATTTTTTTTTTCTTTTGCACTCAAAAAGTATTCTCGTAGCTTCGTATAATTGTGGATGAACCACTGACGTCACATGGATTATTTTACAGATCCCCTTGCTACCTTTCTGGACTTGGGAACATTTCAGTTGCGTTGCAGTCTATGCAGGGTCAGACAGCTCTCAGATTCCATCAAAAATATCTTCATTTGTGTTCCGAAGATGAATGAAGGTCTTACGGGTTTGAAACGACATGAGGGGGAGTAATTAATGACAGAATTTTCATTTTTGGGTGAACTAAACCTTTAAAATTGGCTATGAAAACCTGTGAATTAATTCACACTACTTGGTTGAAAAGCTATGATTTCCTCTTTCTAAAGGGTCTTCCTTACCACAGAATATTGTGAGAAAGAGAGTAGCTTTAATTAGGCAATGACTCAATTTCACCCTCAAAACATTAACAAAACTCATCTCGAACATAAAATAGGCATTTCAGATTGTTAGACAACTAGACATGAGAATCCTAAATTTCACAAGACAAAATTTCTTGTCCCAGAAATGTATTGAAAGGTCAAAATCATTTTTGGGAGGCATTATTTCCATTTTCAGAGCAGCCATGAGGAGTTTCAGAAACTTAATTGGCTAACTTGACAAAGTGAAGGGTCCACTTGTTTGAAGTCTCTTTGGCTTAATTGCAATCATTCTTAATTACCATAAGGCTTTAGAGTTAAACACCACACTATCAATTCAGCTGGCACAGAGGACGTTTCATTTTTAAGGCGACATAAATGGATAACCTGTCCAAGACTTTCCAGGACATTATGCCTGGGCATTATGTATGTGACATATATACAGTATATCCACCATATATCACACTGTATGGCATATAAATATGGCATATAACTGAAAGTCCAGAAATGTATTGAAAGGTCCCATTTTAATGCCAAAAAATAAAAAAGTGGTTTAATTTAGTAAACCTAGGCAGATTGTTTGCGGATTTAGAAATAATTTTTTTTCTTAAAAAGTAAAAAATTATGCTTTTTTTTTGTCAGGTTTTATTACCAATTTAAAATATTTCTCGTAAAAAATGTTTTAAATTTCACTCATAAATAGGAGCTCTACTTGTATGCATTAGGGATGTGCATCTCATGACTGATACGATACACATCTCGATGCATAGCCAACGATACGATACATTAAAGATACATATGAAGCGGCTACCGATGCGATGCGATAAGATTCACGCCTGTTACGATGCAGTGCAATTCGATTTTGATTCGATTCAACATAATGCGATTCAATGCAATACGATGCAATGGAAAAAATATGATCATTTTTAATGCCTTGAGGCCTGTTTCATAAAACATGTTTACCAAATAAGCCAGGCTTATTTCAGTTAGTCTGACTCATTATCAAATGATTTGGTTCAAATCAAAAAGCAAATCAACTTCAGTCACTGTGGCAACTTATGCTGGGAAACTAACCTGGTCTAAAGCAGGTTAACTATCAGACTAAGCGGAGTTCCTCTAACACTGACCAATAGGAACGCTATTATTTTACTTTTTTTTTTTTACAGTTTCTAGCCAAGCAGAAAGGCTCTCTGGTTTTATGACAGCTGTACCTTTGCAGAACAGATAGCAGAACATTAGAACATTACAATCTAAAATTGCTCTTTAAAGCATTAAAATAACTAAATTAAAAGTTAAAATCACTGAATTAAAATGAAAATAAAGAAAATGACTTCTAAACTGCTATAAGAAACACACATTAACTCATTTGACTTATTTGACATTTAACTTAATTAGTACTGAACTAGCTTACATTTGATTTACCCATTACAATAGTTCCTTTACAGTTACTGATATCATAAAAATACACTTATATGAAGGTTTAAAATTCTACAAAAGGCACATTTAATGTCCAACAACAAATATTTTAGCCAAATGTATATTTTCCTCAGAATTATTGTGCTCCTATTCGATTGCACTCTGTCTGTTTTTGCGCGCAGCAGCGCTTGTTCACTCACGTAAGCCTCGCACACTCCTGACAGCAAAATGGATATATTTGCATGACTTTATAACATTTACAGATGAAAAATATACATGTGACATGTCAGTTACGCACTGAGGAAACAGTGTTAATCAAATGCATTAAACAGCACGAATATATTCGCTGTTTGCCATGGTGGATCGATTTGATCCATGATCGACATTAAGGGCTGCTTAAGAATAAGCATGCACAAATTAGTGAGATTGTGTTCATGGAACCGCTTTAGCCCCGATTGATTTGTTAGGTTATTTCAAGTACGGATGCGCCGATCCGATATTCATATAGGGTATCAGCTCCGATAGTGCCATTTTTCTCGGATCGGGTATCGGTCAGAGAGGACCGATCCAAATCCGAGTTTTTTTGTTTTTTTTTCGATTGTGCGAATTATTCTGTGTTACTTCTGAAGCCATTTTAAAAAGCTGTACCATTTTACAAACATTATATATATATATGTCTGGCGAGTAAACAAAAAATATACTAGCCAATGGCAATTCAATTGCCAAGGTGTCCGTTGAGGGTTGACTGTATAAAAACAGTTCGTGCTGCACTGTATTTGTTTTGTCCTATCGTATCTATCATATGTTGTTGCCTATTGTGAAAGAATGATTATCAGTTCCACACACAGAGATATATAAATTCTACATTTATTTAAATGAGGGAAAAAAACTTCACTGGTATCTGATCGGAATCGGTATCGGCCAATACCGAACCTTAGGTATCGGAATCGTACCGGATCGGAACATCCCTAATTTCAAGTCAGGTTTTGGACTGTAATCCCAGTTTTTTCTCGGGTCTCCGTGGTGTTGTGATTCACCATATTCACGCAGCAGCGGTGATGAGAGAACACGCTTGACAAACAAATACATAGTTCACAGATTATTGGTCACTTTCTAAATAATAAAAGTACAGTGCATCCACTAGTAATTATATATAAATAAATCGGTTTTTACCGATGCAAATATGTTAGAAACGATGCATCGCGATACAAATGCCGACTTATAGCCGATACACACTTTTAAAACCGATGCATCGCATTGTTAACTTTTTATGCCGATGCACCGAGCGAATCGGGGAATCTTCCCATCCCTAGTATGCATATTACCAGTATAGAAAACCGCTGGCCGGGGGAGTTACCAAGTAAACTCGCTTGTCTTAAAAGGACAGTTCACCCAGAGAGACATCGTGAAAAATATACCTTGAAAGAATGTTGGTAACCAAACCATTTTGATGACCATTGCCTTCCTTTGTATGGACCAGAAAAAGACAAAGACATTTCTCAAAAAATCTTCTTTTCTGTTCAACAGAAGAAAGTCATGCAGGTAAAATAAGTAAATGATTGATGACAACTTTCATTTTTGGGTGAACTATCCCCTTTAAAGAGACTTTGATAACATCAAAAATAATTTACTAAATTTCATGGGGTGAACAATAAAGCGCACCATATTATAGCAGCTCACTGGTTACACAAACTGAACACAAAGTTCATGTTGTGTGTCACAAATCAAGGGGACAGCCGTTACAGGGGCGTTACAGCGCTGTGGTAAGATTCAGCTGCACTTGTGAGCATACAAGGAAAGTTGTGAGGTGCCTCTCACCTCACTGCAGCCTGGTGTTATCTCATTCTGCAGCACCATGAGGACTTATCATCCCCATCTGCTCTTGGTATAGTGGAAAGGAGAGCACAGGTTTATCGCTGTCTCTGATATGCACAGATAAGGCCTTGCCTCCTGTTTAAACAGCTCTACAGTTAGCACTACCTATGCTAACTTAACAACACTTAACCTTCTTCCACCTGTCTGCCATGAAGAACAACCTAAAAAACCATTGCTTTAAAAAAAAAAAAAAAAAAAGATCTGTTGATCGACTCGATCCCTTTTACAAAAACGACAGTCCAAACTCTAAAAGAACGTGGATGAAATGCGGTGTCTTTTTTTCCTCCATTTCAGTGCTGTGCATGTTGATTATTTTCTTTTTGGCAGGTTGCTGAAATATTTCTGTAATCATTTTCCATGAGTCAAAGGGCCACAAACTGTTTTTCTTGGCAAAAAAAAAAATGTCCTCCAGTTTGTCAAAAAAAAAAAAAAAAAAGCTGCTACGGTACTTCGATTTAGCTCCTGTAGGGAACTCTGGGTGATTGAAAAACAAATAAACTCCTTCATTTAGGCAACCCTCAGACATACATCTACCCCAGATATTACAAGATTACTTCAGTGGTCTAGTTAATAGGATAGTCTTGACACTCGCATGGTTTTGGAAGCGATGCACACATCATTCAGAGCTTTATGACATAACCCAGGGCAACGGGGAATGAATGCAGCAAGCTAAATTTATGCAGGAAGCAAGCACTTACTAATGCATTCGCTCTCAAATGCACACACACATCCACACGCAGAAAGGCTTGTGCCCAATCTGGGAATAATTACAGACGGTTAACTTGACCTGTTTGCCCTAAATGAACTTTCACAGAGAGTGCTAGAGATGGCTGGAACCCTGGCACAAGATGATGCAAAATAATCTGTAATTAGTAACAAGAGCTGCCGCCCCGTCTGCTGCGAGCCGTCAGGAGCTGTGATGAAAAAACCTTTAAAAAAGAACTAAACCTTACCATGGCAAATCTGACACTGTCGTTCCTTTTATTAAAAGAAGATCACTGAAACTTCAAAAGAAAAAGTAGATAAGTACATCGATATCTCTAGCATATAAATAAGAGTGGAAAATCATCTGAATTTTTATGATTTGAAATTACATTCTTTTATCACTGTCATGCATCTTTTAGATTCTAATTTTTTAAAGCATTGAAATAAATTCTGTGAAGATATGATGCAAATTTAAACAGACAAACGTGCCCATCTTAAGAACCCTTAATGTACTGAATCAAACAACAATATGAATCTCAATCTCAATAGCGCTGGCTGCTTAAAAAAAAAATCACTGCAATTAGATGTCATTGGCTGTTTCGGCAACTGCTCCATCCATTTTATGCCAACATGCCAACGCGCTTACTTCAATGATTCACACAAGCACAGACAACTTTTAAATTAGCACGGCTTGTCAATTATTCTGTTCTAAGATAAACACCAACCTTAAAGTTCACAAGGTTGAACGAGCATTTTTCACTCAGTGAATAATGAAGGTAATTACGAGGGATTTATTAATGCCATCTTGAGCACTTCCAAAGACACATGAATATTTGGACTGAAACTGAATCCTCAGATGAACTTTCACCGTTGTGCATTCCAACAGATTAAGGACAAACGCTCAAACCAGTTTATTCTCAATCCTGGGCCTGTCATTAAGAAACCCACAGAAAGCAGATCTACTTAAATCCTGTAAACAACAGGCACTAAAACTCACACAACTATCAAAATAACGTTGTATGTATTGTGCAAGCAATGGCAGGACCTACATAATCAACTTGTACAAATAAGTTTAACATGTGAATCCTGCAATCTTTGTCTAGTCGACAGCAACAAGGGTGTGGCTGCGGGCTTCAAAAGCTGATAACGTCTGGCGTGGATTTCCTCGCCTCGTCCCAGCTCCTTGCAACACCCCCACAAGTCACACTGACAAGAACCAGAGGCCAGCCAAGTGGCCAAAAGGTTATGCTGTGGAGGTCGGCACAGGTCCTCCACGTAGACCCTCATTTCCTGGGCTGGACAGTCTGCTCTACTCATAAAGCTAATAAGGCCCTCCTTGTCCCAGGTGGCTGGGGCCCAGGCTGGCCTACTCATCACTGGCCACACCATGGGGGTCAGGGGGGCTGCTTCCCATTAGCCTGCCCCCTCTCCAGGTGCAGCTAATGGGCTCAGCCAGAGCCTCTCCAGGACCACTCGACAGCCACCAGCGCAGGCCTGGAAGTGATCAGCACCCAACGCCTGGGAGCCGCGACAAACAGACGGCCCACTTAAAGGAACTAAGTTAAAAATAATCATTTTTCTTGACTAGCCTGGGAATGTCTAATCTTGCTGTGTGCAAATGTAGCGTTTTACATGTTACAGTAAGCAAAAAATGTATGCACATATTGATCAAAAGCATACAATTAATTTTTTGCCCATTTTTTTCCTTTACCAAAATAACAGATAGGCTAAAACAATGTTTTTATTATAAATTAAACAACTATTGGCAAATACAGCATTTTCTGTATAATTAACCGTATGAATGATACTTTATGCAATATTTTAAGCCGTTTCAAATAGTTATAACAAGATCTTGTATTGCAACTTGATTGACCTATTTATCCTTACTCTTTTCAAAAGATATTTCAGCTGAAGAGCAATTTTTCTTGATAAGGGGAAAGCAAGAGGAAAACATATATGTGCATAAATCAGCTCTGCAATCATTCACTCTCATATCCACCGCAGGCAGAGTGTTAAGCAAATTGACCTCCAGCATGAAAGAAGATAAGCAATCAACAGTTAACCATTATGACTCATCTTCCACTAATATTTCTCTGCAACCAAGTTTTTTAATCAAAAGAATTTCTAAAAATGGGCACCTTGCGGTTTTTCGTTTCACAGAGCGCATTAAACTAATTGAATTAGGGACCTGCCTTTGCACCAGGGGAGGCAAAAAAAAAAAAAAACACTTTGGAAGAGCATGCATTTATGGCAACCGAAAAACAAATACAGGAGCTTACCTGTGTTGCTCTACGGCCTCATTGTCAGGCAGTTCGGCACCACACACGTTGCAGCGCTCGTTCGGGCTGCGGCCGTCGGGCTTCATCCCAGCAGCTAACTCGCCGAGCTTGTTGAAGAACTCCCTCTGGATGAAGCTCTGAGGCAGCAAGCCCCCATAGGCACTGAAGTCCATGGACATGGCCAATGCTGGGGACATATGCAAGGATGAGGCCATAGAAGCGGGCATAGAGAGCATTGCTTCGTTCTTGTGGTTGGGAGGAATGCCGTAGAGTGACGCCAAGTGCTTTTCGGTCATCCCTGCCATGGCCTCCAGGCCCATCTGGCTGACCTCCGCCTGCTGGTCGCCCACACCTTCCTCCCTGACGTAGTGCAGTTCACGGGCACTAGTGATCACGCTGCTCCTGGTAGGGGTGCCGGGCCCATCGCGGTTCTTGTCAGGTTCTCCGCTGCGCTCGCCGTTGCTGGAGGCGCTGGATTCCATGGCTTTAGGGTTCTCGTGTTCTCCGCTCTCATCTACTTGCATCATCTCTGTCTTGATCTCTCCCATCATGGGGTGGGAGTTGCCGTGCAGGGGCTGTTCGGCACCCGCGCAGGGGTGCATGGTACTCTGCAGGAGGGACTGGCCGATGCTCATCAGGCTGTCCACTGCTGCTTTGGTTGGGCTCATGGTAGAGAGGCCGAAGGAGGTGGAGACAGAAGGACTCTGATCCACCATTGCTGGCAGCGTCAGTGCTTGCTGGGCAGCCGACAAGTAGCCGCCCTCCTCCACGGAATGCTTTTTCGGGTTCCTGCCATGCCGTCCCTTGCGCTCCTCATCGTCTTCTGTGCCTCCGTCGTTCATGTTGACCTCCGTGTCATTTTCATCCGAGGACTGGATGGTCTCCAGTATCTTCAGGCATTGCTCCTCCAAGTACTCTATTTCTAAGATCTCTGCTGCGTAAAGCAGGTCATCCAGATCCTCCACTTTAGCTTGGAGCATGGCAGTGTAGGCATACTCCAGAATCTGCTGGAAGGTCTTTGGTGAGAGAAAGTCAAGAGTGTAATGTTGGCTGTTCCGGTGAAAGAGGATCTCGAACATCTTACTGGTGCAGGCCAGCACGGTCCGGTGAGCGTGGAACTCCTGGCTGTCCACCATGATGACTACGTCGCACAGCGTGCCGGCCAGGCGCATCTGATTAGCCTTGTGCAGCAGGGCATTGGGGTGATTGGGGTTCTGGAGCTGGATCATACCCATTTTAGTCAAATCCATAACGTCTCTGAAATCCACACGGCCAACTCATGAGTCTTTCTTTCCACGTAGCAGTCTGTTCAGTTATCTTTGTAAACAAGATAAGGTCAATCTAGAAAGAGAGACCCACAGTTAGATGCAGCAAAGTCGCAATGTTTTGTTTTTTTTCCCTTGGTTGTTGATTTTCTTTGTTCTTAAATTAACAGCCATCATTCTAATTATTTCAGTATTAAAAAAACTCATAATAATATCAGTACGTTAGACTTCAAATGTACTCTGTACTGTACAAAACACAAATCTATCATTATTTAACAGCTAAAAACCTTTTTAGCAAAGGATCCCTAAAAAACAAACGAAAAATCCGTCAAAATGCACAAAATAAAACAAAACGACAAGTGGCCCACATGAGAAACGTGTAAACTTGGCTTTAGTGCTAGTAAAGGCTGGCAGTAATCAAGCCTTTGTTTCAATGTGTTCGAGCTCGCCTCACAAAGCCCATCAACAGCCTCCTGAAATGAAATGGCATCTTATTCAGTATTCTCATCACAGACAGGGATACTGAGCGGAGCATGGAGAGTGAGGCAAGCTGTTGCCAGGAATAGTTGGAACAGAGGATGACACAAAACAGCTCAGAGCTCCTAAAACACACCAAAATGCAATTTTTATTTTAAATACACTTCCATGTATCATATGTAAATTGCATGATGTTATTTTTTCCTGCTATATCAGATATATACTACAAAAATAAAGCATCAATGCACTTACAATGTAATCTTTTAAAAACAAAAAACGTGCAATTTTTAAATGAACAATGTTATTAGGCTGGGTTTTTTCATTATATGTAAAATATTTAACTTCATAATCAATTTAATTACTTAATAAAATACATTATATCTATAATTTAACGTTTAAAATCTGCTTTGTACAACAGCCTAACGCTATATTACAACAAAAACATAACCGTCACTTTTGAGTGAACACAGAGAAAAATCCACCACTAATATTTGGTAACAGCAGCGAGAGGCAGCCTTTCCTTTAATAACATTATTACATATATTTAAAATAGTACCTTGATAAGGAACGGATGATTTACTCAGACATTTAATATTTCCCCCCATCTTATTTGATCAACAAAAAGCCTCACCGGAGAAGAGCAGACTAGTCTTTATATCAAACAACACTATGATCTTAGCGGTGAATGACGGGCTTTTTCACTGTGAATACCGTTTCAGACAGCAAATAAGCGAAAGTTAGGATAAAGGACAACAGAAGAGGAATATATTCGAGGGATTTCACGCTGTTTAAAATCTACAAAGTACAGGAAGGCGAGTAATAAGTGAGAAATGAGTACGTTGTCTTTGAAGTGCAGTTAACTGATGAGACGTTAGCAATAATGACGCCAGTTCACGCACGCGAACTGTACAACAACTCAAACAAAAGTCAAGAAACGATCAATACATATTCGTATTAGCCAACTACTGCTGTGATAAGCGTTATCTGCCTCATATATGATAAAAAAGACCGATGAAAAGTCCAGTCAGAGCTCATTTGACTGATCAATACATGATTATTCGACTGTTCACACGTGAATCAATTGAAGTTAAAGAACCCGTTTGTTATTTTATTACATACACAAACACATCGGGCGAAAAAGCTAAATAGCGTTTCTGTTAAAATAACCAATTTCAGTATTGTTATAAAACAAATAAAAACAAATGTAAGCAAAGGTCATTTCACTTTAAAAATCACAAACAATACAGTTCGGTTCATTTTGAAAGACAGTGACACGCACCTCCACGGTGGCCCTGATTAAATAACCAGACTTACTGACAAGCAAAATAATAATCAACAAACCCCCGACATTTGTTTGTTCTACGACATACTTCTTCAGTTAGGACATATTTAAACTCTCTGGGTGTTCAATTTGAAGCAGTCACGCTGAGAATCAAGCACATGGAAGCACGTCACTGTCTGGTGCGCGAGCAGACCTCACGTCCCCCGAATACTAAAACACACGCTTACGTCAACATAACATCTCCACATGTGTAAAGATGAACATAAACAGCCATATCCATCAGGTGCCCCGAGCCTGCACCACACTGACAGCCACACTTGTACTTTTTCGGTGCACTCTCCCAATTCACCTTCACTTGAAGCAACAGTAGAAACACCGTAACTTGATGTGATACTGAGCGCAAACACCTCTGACCAACACAACGCGGATCATCTCTTAATGTGAACATTTCCCAAATTGAAAACACACGCAGACAGATGGGTCTGTTAGGAGCTGTGGGTGTTTTAAAGGTGCGCGCCTGTACTCACCTGTCTTGCACGTTTGGCTTCCGAGCGTGCGGTTATTAGGACTGTGGCATAGTAACGCGGTTCACAGTCCCCGCTCTCTCTCTCACGCGCACTAACTCCTCTCCGCTCGCGGCTTAGCAAATCAACACGGCGGTGACGTCAGCGCACATCCTCGCCGGAGTCCTGACAAACACTGCTAAAGTGAGACACCTAGGGGGCTGTCGAATATAGGCCAGCGTGTCTGGGACACTATCTATCACCGCGTTTGGACTTTAATCATTAACCTTCAAGCATCATCACCTTTGCTACTACTTCTACAACCAGGTAACAACTTCTCACTGAAGTCTGCAGCGAGCGCGATATTTAAATTCGTATTTAGAACCCATGAGTGCAACATCCACTATTTTTACACATTCTTGAAACCTATTTGTTCGTAAACGTAAATATGTTATTTTGCTGTAATTCTTGTCTAGCTGTGAGTACCTGGAGCTTTTGTTACTATGCCAAATTCCTTGTGTACTTGACCCAAATAAACTCATTCAAACAAACAAATAAAACATGACAATTGGCAGAGATACAACTATTTCAAAATCTGAAATCTGAGGGTGCAAAAAAAATAATAATATTGAGAAAATGGCCTTTAAAATGGTCCAAATGAAGTTCTTAGCAATGCATATTACTAATCAAAAATGAAGTTTTGATATATTTGCGGTAGGAAATTTACAAAATATCTTCATGGAACATGATGTTTACTTAATATCCTAATGATTTTTGGCATAAAAGAAAAATCAATAATTTTGACCCATGCATTTGTTGGCTATTGCTACAAATATATCTGTGCTACTCATGACTGTTTTTTTGGTCAAGGGTCACAAATGCACTTTTAAGATACTCTCTTTGTATTTAAAAAATGTAATTAGCCACCACTTGTAGTACACTTGAGTGTACTATGAAAGATAGTTCAAGTGTACTACAAGTGGTAACTAAATAAATTTTTTAAATACAGAGATAGTATGTAAAAAGTGCATTTTAGTTCATATTCATGGTGTCCCAAAAGAGCACAGTTGAGTAGGATACACTTAGATGATCTTAAGTTTATCTTAAGAAGTACTAAATAATAATTTTTAGTATATTAAGTACAAAATTTGTGCACGAAAATAGAGCACTTTAAGTATATTATGGAAGTGTATTTTTTTCACCTGGGGAGGCTTTAAAAATGAAAAAGATTAAATGGATTACTCGTTTGACTGTAAATGTTTTATTCATTCATTTATTGTGATTTTTTTAATCTATTTAAACCTTTAAATGCTTAATTAAACGTTTTATAATCAAACAACAGTTCTTGGTAGAATATAATGATATATGCTTAATTTAACTAGAATTATACTTAATTAGTATTAGGTTAAAATAAATCATGCAGGCTACATTTCATTAAATTGTGTTGACAAACTGAACATTGTCATTCTACAAATTCTATTCCATTGCCATCAGCTACTTTTGTCACTTGTATTTTCAGTGCAATGACAGCCTGAAAATGGAGGGAAACGGTGTTAGACCCTGTAAAACTTGAGATGGGAGATCATAGAGTGCCATCACCTTTGAGCTGCATGCTGTGCTGGCTTACTTAGGGATAAAGACAAAGGCACTGCCCTAATCTCCATCTAATCCACATTTTACTGGAGAGGACTCTGATAAATCCTAAATTATACACTGATTTTTTTTTTTATAATCAAAAGCACAAGCTAACACAGTTTAAAAAAACATGAAATTACATTCGAAAATGAGGTATAAACGATATATGTTTACATTAAAATTATTCTTTGAAATCTAACTCTAAAATTTAAGCTCTTTGGTAAAGTCATACATGTTCATTCATGCATTATAAACATATGTGAGATGATGTTCTTTAATGAAAGTCGCATTTATGTGCAATTCATTGGCCTTGGCTCTGCAGGAGTGCAGGAGACACTTATTATTGAATTCGTGTAATTATTATAATTACACATACATATTTTGATGCATAACACCATGAAATAGCTTCTGAATGCACTAAGAGTATGTTTGCTGCCTATTTATCCACATAGTACATATTCACATATATAAACCATCATTAGCGATGTACTGAGGTAGGTAATGACATACCCTGGAGGTTTTGCCCATGAGCTAACAGTGGATCTTCGTGAATTTCGCTCAAAGCTTTGACTGAATAGGCTCTTTTTACACTTGTATAATCCTGGGGGTGTCTTATGCATTAAGGGCCTGCCCCAATGACCTCTGACCTTGGCTGGATTTTCTCCTGTACAAAATGCCCCTTCTTGTGCATGGCTAAAAATTCCTTTTGAGACTTTTCATCATGTAGGTATCTATTCTATCATGCAATTCATCCATAAAGGCTATCATATCTGAGCCAACTGCAGGTTTAGAGTTAGGCTTAAATGGATTTAAGACACAGTAACTCCTAATTATATTATTAGGTACTTCATTTGAGCCTTATAAGTAGCACATGGAACAGTTTACAGAGCAACTTTAATTTTATGTTACATTTTTGGTACGATAAATCTTAAATCTACTTATAAATGTCTAACATCACACTTTTGGCTTCATTTACAGCATTAAGTTTTTTTTTCATTAAGAAGAATGGGTGACATTCTCGTTGTTAATGGATTGAAATAGTCATGTTGACAGAGCCATTTGCTCTACTGAGTGCATATTTGCCTTCACTCTCCCTCCAGCCTTATACCTGTTTGGTTAGATGACAAGGTGATCCCTTGATCAATACTGATGTGGTATCAGCAGGCTGAACAATAGAACTGTGCTGGTAAACCTTTACTGGTTTCAAGTGACAAGAATCTCATTCTCAGAGGTCACAGATCTCACAATCTCTGACTGCGCTCTTTGTATTAGGACAGGCACATTCCAGTCACTGATTACTATTTTGTATTTGCAAAATGAGATGCAGACATAGAGGAGAGCATGGATAATTGTAACACTCCATAAATGTAATATCAGTGATTAATTATATCAGTGTAAGCATGTATACGATTACATTTTCTATCTCTTCCCACACTATTGGAAAGTTTCAGCAATAGTTGATATAAATGTTTTTAAAAACACCTGTTTTGAGTTGAGTTAAACTTTTACGTAAATTTTTGTGTACATTGAGTTTTAAATTTTATTTAAAATAAATAAAATCATACAAATAATGTTGCACCTTCAAACATTATGTATGTTTGTATTGTTTTTGTATCAATATTTTTAAAAAACCTCTTTCATCATTGTGCAAAAAAACAAAAACAAACAAAAAACAGATGACAACTAAAGACATGACTATTAATATTAATAGATGATTTTAAACTGCTGTTGTAGTTCCCTCATGTTGTTATCCATTTAACATGTACATATGAAATATATACATTTACATGAGATAATTTGTTTTTATTTAAACAAAAATAATAAATTAATTTATTGAGAATAAACAAAACAAAAATATAAATCTCACCCCAGCCTTTATTTAGTTGTAGTTTCAATGTATCTGATTCGATTACATTTAATTGGCAAACTGAAATTGATACATTTTATGAATAACTAAGAAAAAAGTGTTATAATTATCCTTGCTCTCCATCTGAGTAACAGATTTAGTTACTGTCATCCTCTCACATCATAAGTTGATCCACTTTCCTCATAGCCGTCTCTCCATTACTGACCTCTGCCTCACACACCGAATCTTCAATCTTCTTTTCTTCCTCATAACCGGCTCATCTGATCCTAATGACTGTTAATACCAAATGATCTGAATCTGTGAGGTACTGTGGGGGTCACCTCAATATTTCATACACTGTGTGGTCATTAATCACAAGAGCTTTAAATAGAAAAACGTCTCTTGATTACTGTAATTTTAAAAATGGTAGTAAAACTTTGATTAAATTTAGCACGGGGCAGGGCATCGTCACTAAAATGAATGGAAAGAAGGTGCCAAGTCTACTACAGAACTGTCAGATGAGATGCGATGTCCATCATAGGTGCACTTTTCCATCAGGTTAGTGGGTGGTTTGCTTCCTTTTATGGGAGCGGCCCGGGCCCTTAACCAGAGTGTTCTAATGAATACTAACCCCTTTTAAAAGGAGCTTCCCTGCAGTTTCCATTGGGTGGAAATTTTATAAACTTTTTTTCAGGTCTGAAGCAGCTTAGAGAGACTATTGTCCCCCTGTTGAACAAGACCTGGACACTCAAAACAGTTTAAACAATGCCAATGATGATTAATGACAGGCCTGTCAAACAAACAGCACTGACTAAGGCTCGCGCTCACAGCAATCCTGTGACTGAAGAAAATCAAATAAAAACCACACACTCCATTGTTCAAAGCTTCCAATAAGAGGTTAAATATATACTAGTATGAAAGAGCTCTAACCTGTATAGACCAGTGCCCGATTTTTGAACTACTACATTCGGTTACTGCCTCAGATTGAGTGTACTTTGTGCTTACACTCACTAATTGGAATGAATTGAAACACATGTGATGAAATTCGACAGTATTTATTTTTTTGCAAACAACACGTCCTGGAGCTTTTCAAAAGGGCAACGAGGAAAACTGTTTGTTAGTTGTACAGATAAACATTTGCGATGACGTCTGTCGGAGAATGCCTTTCCTCTGTGTAACAGTAGGGATGCAGGATGGGAGCCCGGGGCCTTCGTAGAGATCCAAAGAGCCCTGCTGACCCTGCCTGGTGCACCTCTGCAGAACACAGTGGTACAGAGCACCATACACGCCTTTCATTCAGCCAAAGAAAAGGCCACTTTTTTTCTCATTCTCTCCTCTCTAAGTGTAAGACCCCAGCTGTCCTCAGTCAAGCAGAATTCCAACTTTCCCTCCAAAAAAATTCTCTCATTGTCCATCCTGGAGGTGGCCGAACCCTCCTCTCCATAGTGCTTAACCACTGGACCGGGCGCAAACAACAGAGTAATCATATTACAGTGTCCCTGGGAAAAAAGGGACAGCTATCCACAGGGAATCTCCTGTGGCTAATCCCTGCGAGGCCACTGCTTTTCTTCTCCAGCGCCGAGTCCACCTTTCACAGCGGTTTCGGAGGCACACAGGCCTTTAACCGCTCAAGGATATCGGCTTCACGTCTCTCCTTCTGCATTCCCCTCGAATCTACGGCAAATATCAAGAAACCACTGCCTCTTCGTCTCTCGTTCGTGCAATTTTATTTTGGTACCTTCATTACCTCACCTTCTTTATTCTACGGCTCCTCATTTTCGTTGCCCCTATGACTGTAGACATGATTGCCGTTATTGTAAATAATTAATAAGCTGTAATATATCACCTCTAATTAAACATATTAGTCAGCGGAGTCTTGCAGAATTACTACCCCGAGTCCGTGTCCAGTGATATTCAAATGAGCCTCATTCCCATCAATAATGCAAATAGATGCACTATAAACATTTCTCACTGTACAGTAACTGCTGCAGCCCACGGGAGCATTTGAACATAATTTAGAATTAACATCATTAGCATGACATGACTGAGCATGATAACTGATATTTGGTAAAGTTTTCAGGAATCTATTCTTATGTAAAAATCATTTTCCAATGATACTATGTTGCAATTATGTTAATTGCTAATGTGTGCATCATTTGAACATAATTTAGAATTAACATCATTAGCATTCGCTTTTATTCACACTGTAGGTCTGCAAAGAAAATCATTATCTGCACAGATAGAATCAGATAGAATCTTATTATGCAACAGTTACTTCTAGTCCTCAAATTTTATTGGATGAGAGGCATTCCAAGAGCACTGATGTCGTCCAACAGCGCTGGGACTTTCTACTGTTTGTATCACTCTGCTTGGTTGTTTTCACTTTCCAGACAGACTGCCAGTCTCTGTATTAGTGGTGGGGATTTTTCAGTGACTCTTTTTGTCAGGTTACATTGATACACCAAAGTTGAGACAAGTGATTGGCCTTAAATCATTCAATCACTTGAATCAGGAATGAAGTGACTGTCCTCATGAGTGAATCATTTGAATCATTGAATGAATCAACCCAACAGATTCATTCAAAAACACAGATTCATTCAGGAATGAAACAAGTGACTGACCTTATAAGCGATTTCCAATATTGATGACTTATAAGTCATTTGAATCATTTACTCAATCGATTTGTTCAAAAACACTGAATGCAAGAACTGTATTGAACAGAAGAATGTAAACAAACAAAACTTGACTGGAACAACACTGAAAATTTCTGAGATGTACAACAGACAAGCATCATAATAGAAAATGAATGAATTAATGAATGAATGAATTAATGAATGAATGCAGAAAAAAGGCAACTAGTTTTCTGCAAGTTCCTCTAGTAAATTACAGAAATTCAAGGCATCCTTATTTTTCCATTAATTTCAGCAATAAGAAAACAACACTTTCCCTTGTGAAATATGTAGATATTTAGTCAAGTTTTCAGGAATCTATTCTTATGTAAAAATTAATTTTCCAATGATACTATGTTGCAATTATGTTAACTGTCAATGTGTGTTTCATACTTCATAAATATATCACCAGTAAATATAGATCACATTTTCCTTTTTTATGAAAAAATGATGGTTCTTATAAGTGGATCATTTGAATCATTCACTGATTCATTCAAATTCCTGATTCATTCAGTAACAAAACAACACCACTGTCAGAGACAACACTGCAAAAACAGACAAAGTCTAGCACTATTATAAGTTACTGAATATTAACTTCTTGTTTACAGAAATGTTGTATAGAATCAATGTGACAATCATGCTGTTGGTTTGAATCATGCATCATGGCTGTGACCATATTTGAGAAGAATGGACATCTCTTGCTCTGTGATATTGTTTAGTTATGGTGAACAGTTAGTGCTATCCTCAACTAGTTATTTGGTATGTTCTTCCCTAGGATTTTGAAAAATGAAACTTAATTTAAAAACGCTTTTTCCCTTTTTAAATTTTTTTAAAGTTACACCTGGAGAGAGATAAAAGGGGCTAACAAATCCAGCTGGGCTCGTGTAAAGAGAACAGTGGCTAATTTAAAAGAAACCCCTGCTTGCTATTTTTCCTGGGTACCAGTTGGTCTTCTAACAGATGTTGAACACACGATTTAACGGAGATGCTATATATCAAAGTATACTGGACTGTCTCTCGTTTCCTTTTAAGTTATGACTTCTGCAGCGCTGTCAATGAATTGCAAGCTGTAATGACTGACCGCCTATACGCTACGCTGATTTATAACAGCAAATTTGTCAAACCGGACATTAAATCTCTGAATTACAAGAGTCTTTTCCAGACCGGCATGTATTTTCAACCTAAGATCGCATTCTCTGTGGTTACAGGAGCAATTCTTTGGGTTAAAAGGTGACGGCCGTTCTCAGTTTCCTCTGAGAGAAGCTAGGATGACTTTGAGGCCCATTGACGTGGATGAGCTGGAATGAAAAATAGAAGCAAATAATTCCGAACGCTAAGACAGGAGAGTGATTTAAGACACGGAGGAGGATACGAAGCAGAATGTTCTCAACTGGAATGCACATTGGCTTTCACAGCATGGGCCTGGGCAGGCAGTCAAAACCAAACAGAAAACTCCAAAGCAACTAGCAGAGTACTTCCAACACATAGGTCGAACTAAAATATGTCATTTAAAAATGTTATTCAATCCTATCTAATCCGTTTAAACAAGGCCCGGTCGCTCCAATTTCTACCGTGTTATGTAAATGAGTGGTAACCATCCAAATGTCGATTTGATTAACCGTCAGATTTATCCTTTCCAGGCATAAACAACAAGTGTTTACAGTATAATTCTAGTAACAGGAAGCAGATCGAGGTTCTGTGTGAGATCCACCCAGGACCGGACCAGCTGTATGGCCCCAGCTAACACCATTGTTACGTGCCGGGGGTTGGGAGGACTATGAGGGCCTCTAATCTGCTGCTATGTGTTGGCTGTTATTGAAGAAGAAAGAGAGAGTGAGATAAAAGTGATGCCAATGTTTTCCCGGATGGCCTCGGTCCAGAAGAAAGCCACATTAAACCATATGGCAGCGGATTCAACCAAAATCAATGTTCGAAAGCCACTTTTTTTTCATTGCATCAACATCTTGAGAAGTTTAGAGCGAGTGCATCTAAACAGGAAATCTTAAAATCAGCCTTTTGATAGACCATATGCCATGTGTTTGGCAATTGCCACATCGTTTGAGGGACCAGCATTACATAATCTTGTCTGCTGGCTGCCAGAAAGGGACAGGACAGGCTACTATGCCGCTTCTTTTCTGCTTAATCTGATGGGACAACAGCATTCTTCTGTGAGAACAAGAAGGACTTGTACGGGCCAGGTAGAAGAAGAAAGCAAGCGGAACATTGTGAGATTTGGGGGTTTATTTCCCAGCAAAGCATGTGACTAACAGGAAAGCTGTGGGGAAATAACTGAAAGTAAAAATGGAAATAAATTGTGGTAAAATACGACGTACATAAATAAGAATTACAAGCTGGGTATAGTTTTAGTTAACTATAAAATCCCTGACACTGATAAAAAAAAAAAAATAATAAAATACACTATAACCGACTACACTAATAATAAATCATTATTAAATAAAAGTAACAAGCATGCATACTGATTATACTAAAATATGATATATATCCTTAAAAACATAGTGAAAATCTAATGATTCAATAAAATGATATTCAACAGAATAAAAACTACAGTAACCAAATTAATTTGAGACATTGGAGGGCAGCTGCCTCCGAGGATGAAATCAAAATGCTTAAACCATAAATAAACTAAGATCTTGATTTAGCAAAGGCAGTAGCACAGTAATGTGGAAAGCAGAGCTTGTTTAAGCTGTTGCAAATGACGGATACATGTAAAATGTTTGTACATGATGGGCCTGGGCAGGCAGTCAAAACCAAACAGAAAACTCCAAAGCAACTAGCAGAGTACTTCCAACACATAGGTCGAACTAAAATATGTCATTTAAAAATGTTATTCAATCCTATCTAATCCGTTTAAACAAGGCCCGGTCGCTCCAATTTCTACCGTGTTATGTAAATGAGTGGTAACCATCCAAATGTCGATTTGATTAACCGTCAGATTTATCCTTTCCAGGCATAAACAACAAGTGTTTACAGTATAATTCTAGTAACAGGAAGCAGATCGAGGTTCTGTGTGAGATCCACCCAGGACCGGACCAGCTGTATGGCCCCAGCTAACACCATTGTTACGTGCCGGGGGTTGGGAGGACTATGAGGGCCTCTAATCTGCTGCTATGTGTTGGCTGTTATTGAAGAAGAAAGAGAGAGTGAGATAAAAGTGATGCCAATGTTTTCCCGGATGGCCTCGGTCCAGAAGAAAGCCACATTAAACCATATGGCAGCGGATTCAACCAAAATCAATGTTCGAAAGCCACTTTTTTTTCATTGCATCAACATCTTGAGAAGTTTAGAGCGAGTGCATCTAAACAGGAAATCTTAAAATCAGCCTTTTGATAGACCATATGCCATGTGTTTGGCAATTGCCACATCGTTTGAGGGACCAGCATTACATAATCTTGTCTGCTGGCTGCCAGAAAGGGACAGGACAGGCTACTATGCCGCTTCTTTTCTGCTTAATCTGATGGGACAACAGCATTCTTCTGTGAGAACAAGAAGGACTTGTACGGGCCAGGTAGAAGAAGAAAGCAAGCGGAACATTGTGAGATTTGGGGGTTTATTTCCCAGCAAAGCATGTGACTAACAGGAAAGCTGTGGGGAAATAACTGAAAGTAAAAATGGAAATAAATTGTGGTAAAATACGACGTACATAAATAAGAATTACAAGCTGGGTATAGTTTTAGTTAACTATAAAATCCCTGACACTGATAAAAAAAAAAAAATAATAAAATACACTATAACCGACTACACTAATAATAAATCATTATTAAATAAAAGTAACAAGCATGCATACTGATTATACTAAAATATGATATATATCCTTAAAAACATAGTGAAAATCTAATGATTCAATAAAATGATATTCAACAGAATAAAAACTACAGTAACCAAATTAATTTGAGACATTGGAGGGCAGCTGCCTCCGAGGATGAAATCAAAATGCTTAAACCATAAATAAACTAAGATCTTGATTTAGCAAAGGCAGTAGCACAGTAATGTGGAAAGCAGAGCTTGTTTAAGCTGTTGCAAATGACGGATACATGTAAAATGTTTGTACATGTTTATGTAGGATGGCAAAAAGCAACAAGCTGGTATATTGATTTATGAGCAGCTCAGGGGTTTCAGCTGGCATGCGGGAAAGCACATTCATTGTATAGTTTTCTTTGTGCAATCATTTGTAAAGCTTAGTTAAATCATTTATAATTTGTCAAATCAATTTGCAAATCAAAGTAAGGGCAATAAAACATCATATACAAAATATGCATGACTATTGTTTAATGAGAGAATATTGATAGAAATCTTTCTAATTGAAAACTGTTTCATCAGAATTAATGGTTAAAGCAAAGGTTTAGTAATTCCATGACCCAGTGGTGACCCAGGACCAGAAGAGCTGCTGTAACATAAGCCTGCCTCACTTCAAACAAGTTCTTCCAGAATAGGTTGTTCCTAACTATGTAATTTAACTTGCTTTGATTTACAACATGTGAAATACGTACAAAATTGGAATGAATCTATAAACTCTAAAAAAAAAAAAGTTTCATCTGCCTCCTCTGGATATGAACAGGTCTCAGATATGTGCTCTGAAGCCACACACTTCCATTGCAAATACCCAAATATACAATGGCTATTATTGCACTGGTGATTTAGGTAGTGACAACCTGTGCAGGTTTCAGACACACAGATCAGTACCTGATCGATGGGGTCTCTGCTCCCTGTGGAGTCTGCTTCCATAATACAACATTCAATGGAACCTGCCAGGATCATTTACATAGGTTAATGGTAATTAACCCAGCTTTAAAATCCAACTCAGATTCAGATGCGAGTTATTCTGAAAATATGTTGACTTTTAGGCTTTTTCATTGAATTCTTAATCAGTACAACGACTTTGTATTTTATTTTACTTTATTCATATATAAAGCAATGGTCATTTATGAACAAATTCTCAAAACAGATTAATTTTCCAGGAACATCTGAAAACTTTATTAATCTTTATTAATCAGACTAAATTCTGATAATAAAAAAATGTATTATAATAAACAGTCAAACTACATATCATATTAGCCTATTTAATCAAATGCAAAGGTATAATAAAACCAAACGTTATATAGTGATATCTTTTATATGGGGTTACTTTAGGCTCTTTCAAATCACTGAAAAGTAAGGAGACAAAATATGTCACCATATTTTGAGAAGGACTCATTTGAGGTGTTGATCAAACCTACAATATACAGACAGCATTTCCAACATCTACTCCAGCTCTTTTGTCCAGGATGACCAGGCCTTTAGGAACTCAGAAGCTCATGAGTCACAGAGGAGCTTGATTTGTGAGCACATGTGCTAAATGAAGTAGGCTACCTTAGGAATGAAAAACCAAGTAGTAAAAATTGTTAATGACATATAAAAGCTGACATGTTTGATATAGCTAAGTATACAGCATGATAAACGCAAAACGTATGTGACAAACTCTTTTGAATCTTGGACTCTTGTCTCAAACTTTCTCTGTTACATTAACAGGCCACTTAATCAAAGCGATTTTAAATGGGAAGCACCTGAATAAGATTTCTGGATTAACTGCAGAGGAAACTGCTGTTTCATCCAATGCCTATCATTCTGCTGTCACATTTTCTCTGGCTACAAGGCTGAAAAAGATATGTCGTTCCAATATGGTAAAAAGAAAAATATGTATCAAAACACTGCCTTTGTATGTTTTTAGTTAGCCTACATTGGCCTGTTGCGAGTCAACAACCGCTGTCAGCGACACATCATTTAGGGCGGTGCTTTACTGCCACCCAGTGGACAACAACGTGTAAGTGCAGCTGCTCAATGCAACCCAAAAGAGCTGTGAACCGTTGAATTTCACAATACTAATACATAAATAGCGTTGTGCCTCATGAAATTACATTTTTATTTAGTCACCAGATTATCAGAGAAAACTAGAAATACATCTTTGGTTCTTACCAGCGTCATGACTGAGAAATACGGCACATTTAATTTGGCTTCCCAAATGCACAATGCAAATCATGAGTTGCTTTGGCAGCAGGTAATTCACAGTTACGCTACAGTTATCAAGTCGAGAATTAATCCGTAGCGTCTCTAAACGTAGCAAACGCGACGTAATATGGATTGTGGTCTTGTGCGCCATCTGGTGTTGATGATGCGCGTCCGCAGCACGCGCCTCTCTTATGCAATGGAATTGCAACATCTTCTAAAATAGTCATAACTTATTTTTGTGGTATACCTGAATACAATAGTAATATTTCATAAGTTCTATCCCAAGGCCAAGCACAGATGGTCAATATGTGTATAGCAGTGGTGTAGTCCTAAAGAAAAAAGTGGTTTACTATTACCCAGCAATATTACCCTTTAGCACAGTGGAAATTTAAAAGACAATAATTTAATAAAAAATGTATAGTTATACTTATAATATGATGCCTAACATTTTTCTCAAACAGCATAAGTGGGTCTTTATACATGTAAAACATATAGCTAATGTTATAATTTAGGAAGGGAATCATCTCCTGCAAGAGGATTTTCCAGCCTGTAGCGTGAAAAACAAAAGTTTTATACAAATAGGCCAATATGGATAACATAAATTACATATAGCCTACATAAAACGTGCAAAGAGAGCTCCCTAAAAACATGTCATTCGTCTTAGCTGATTGCGATCTCACAAAGTTCCGTTATAATCAATGAATCTCTCTGTACTGCACAATTAATCTTTTATTTACATCGTTATAATAAGATGGTTCTCGAGCTTGCAGAACTGAGCACTGGACAAAAACTCCAGCGTTTTAAGCGTTGAATGGGTTCTAACTTTAATGCCTCTGATTGGTCATTGCGTTCAATAAATCAACAGGTATGTATGTGATTGGCTACATTGCTGAACGCTGTAAAAATGTAAATGGAAACCTGTTATGCTCTCCGGAGCGCAAACACAAATGTGCACTAGATAGTTTGCCAAATCTGTTTATTACAGCTTCAGCTGCGGGTGCTCTTGCTTTCTTTAGCTCTTGCTTTCACTATCATCCCCTTGAAACCAGGCCTGAACTAAGAGCAGGGCCGGACTGGGACACAATTTCAGGCTGGGAAATCTCATACTCATCCAGGCCATCCTATACACCCACAACAAATTCTGAAACCACAAACAACCCTATTATTTGTATGGCCATCACAAAGGTCTAAACCCTTAGGCTGGAGCTGTGCAAAATAATTTAAGGTTCTTGAACTGCACCTTCACTTCCATTTTCCGTTTCTTCATTTTCCCCAATATCTCTGTCCATCCCTTGCGTATATGTGTGTTTTTTTCTTGTACCTGTCACTTCTTCACCAGCAGGTCTACCGTTATGAACAGAACTGTGTCAATCTAGTTGCAAAACAACCACCTCATTTTAATTTGTTTGCACAGAATGTTATTTATCTTAAAATGACTTAAATACCAAAGATGTAACAAACCTATTTTTCATACAAATATATTTTAAAAAAATGGTGTTTAAGTGCCTATTTATAAAAATT